ATACCAACACCAATCTTGAAGGGAACGTACTGCAGCTTCCCCATGTGTCACCCTGGACACCATCTCTGAGATGGGAACACTCATGGATATACCGCAGACCAAGGAGCCAGAGTTTGGAAGCAAAGTAACCCACCTGGGGTCTTGAACGCACTGGGCTATGAGGAAGCCACACCCCAAACCACAGGTGAATCAGACTCCCTTTGCTGCACCCAGAAGCTATCCTGGAGCTCAATCATTTGAATGGCCTCCCCTGGGGCTCAGGGTGGTGCTGAGTCTCACCTTATACAACCAAGCTCAGAGCTTCTGGCCACCAGGTCTGTGACGTTCTGGTCCAGCGTTGTCTATGTATGACAGCAGGGGTCTTCAGCACCAACAAGGACAAATAGATTTGTAGCTCTACCACCATCCCTATAATGTATCAATTCCCATGTCTACCCATGTTCAGTAAATTTAATTAGTGGTGAAAAGCAGCTTATTTGGCAAGATGATCAGTTTTTAACCTGGGTAAATGACTTTCTTTATGACTATAAATTAGGCGCATGCTATCTTTTTCACGCATCACGGTTGTCCTCATAAACACTGGAGGCAGTTGCCGGGAGTCTCACTCCGTTACCTTTCCCATTACTGTTTTATCATCATCCCGCTAGGAGTGGGAAATTCATTCTGCTTTAATGACAAAAAGGAAGTGGCGACGAGGGGCTTGTTTAATGAGGAAACTGCCTCATGGTCAGTGTCTCCGTCCATGTCTGTCCCTGCCCAGGCAAGCTCAGCTCCCCCTGGGGCCTGCCGTCCACAGCCTTGGTGAGGGCCACAGCCTTGGTGAGGGCCACAGCCTTGGTGAGGGCCACAGCCTTGGTGAGGGCCACAGCCTTGGTGAGGGCCACAGCCTTGGTGAGGGACATACACGGGGCTTCAGTGCTCCCTTTGTCTTAATTGCAAATAATTAGGAATCAAATATTTGCCGACCGCTGATTTCCACAGCTGAGAGAGAAGGTGAGAGTTCTCATTGTCTTCCATGACCACAGGTTGGCACAGATGTTTTCTTAACTGTGACCCCCCCCCCCCCACTCAGAGCACAGTTTATGGAAAGTGGCCTGGAAGCTAATCGTGGAGCAATGGACCCCAGTAGTATTTAGTACAATCTGGCCTTTCAAAGAAGAGTGCCAAGTGGAATAGGCGCCCCTATCTGAACGAAGGTGGTCTTCTGAAGTCCCCTTTTCCCTGCCTCTCTAGGTCTCTAGTCCCCTTGACCACAGATGGCTCCTCCAGGGAGACTTAGGAGAGGCAGGCCAAGATGAATGGTCACCACATGTGACACCCCCCCCAATAGCCCTCCCCATGCCAGCCTCTGACCTGACATTGGAACATTGGCACTAAATTGGCCTTAAAATTGTTGTGTTTCTTAAAACCTGAGAGTTCTGTGGCCACAGAAGGACAGTGACCCGGCACCTGCAGAGCCTCCTAAAGCTAGAGCCAGGGCACGCATTCTAGGGGAGCAGATAAAGGGAAGGAACATGGGCTGACTAAAGAAGAAATAGCCCCCACCCAAGGTAAATTGGAGCTGATAGCCAGTGGGGGAGAGCAAGAGGGGTCACAGCTGGAGAAGAAACCCCACAGCTGCATCTGAGAAGCCAGAGACTTGAGCTGTTTCTTTTCAAAATGGGCCATTAGTTCTGTTTTGCTTGCACGGGGAAGTTCATTGAGACAGCGTCTAGTGGTAAGGCTTTGCTTCCTTGCCCTGTTTGGGAAAGAAGCAAAAGCTGGTCAATTCAGCACCGTGTTAGTGCCTTCTAGTGGCCGCTGGCATTTCCCAGGAGAATCCTGCTAATCAAACACACTTGGTGGCAAAGCAACCAGAAGTCAGGTGTGTGGGCTTCCGGCCCAGAGCCTGCTCTCGGCACCCTTCCCTTCCCTTCCCTTCCCTTCCCTCTGCCACTGGTCAACCGCCACAGGAAAACCGCTGGGTAGGAGGGGTGGCCTCAGTGCCAAGGAGCCTTTGCAGTGAGGTGGGGATGGTAGGCCCCCTGAATAAAGGAGGTTTGCGTGCCCCGCTCTGGATCTGCACTCTTACTCTGCAGAGATAGGTTGGCCTTCGAGTTTATTATGATGCAAGAAAGCAGTCGATACTTCTTAACTTGCCAAGGTCAGGGGAATTTAAATGAGTTATTGAATCAAGGAGTTAATCTTCCCATAACTGGCTTTTTTTCCCCTTTCAAATCTATGATGATGAAAAGCAGACCTAACCCAAAACAGGAAAAGGATTCTTGGTTTTCCCTTATACATGTGTTTGTCCCAGGGAGTAGAAGGTTCATTGTTGACAACCAGGGCCATTCTGTCTTGTATAGTGTATGGGAGATGGTTTATTTGTTTGGACTTAGTTGCTTATGTGATGTTTTGGTTTTGGTTTTTGGTACCTGGTCTTATGTAGTCCAGGCTAGACTCAAACTCAGTATGTAGCCAAAGCTGGCCTTGAACTTCTGATCATCCTGCCTCTACCTCCAAGATGAAGAGGGTGACAGATGTGCACTACCATAACAAGCATGGAAGACCATTGCTTCAAAACATAAGGCAAAAATTTCCACAGCTGTAAACTCTGTGTTCACGTTTAAATTCTTGGGACTTTGGGTTCTTTTAATTCCCAGTATGCCACATGTTGTCGTTAATGGCATGGGGTCATCCTCTAATTCCCTGGACTCTTCTCATATGGTGGAATATTAGTTAAGTGCTCTGGATGAACTTCTCTCTTTATCAGTGAAATAAGCCACCCCCAGGAACCTGCCTCGGGATGTGAGCTCTGAGCACTACTGTGCGGAAATCCTTGTGGATGGGTGTCAGACAGAGAGACTACCCAAACAGTATGGCAGATCCAAATTCCTGGGTGTTGTGGAATGTTAGTTTAAGATGTGCCACATTCATTTATGCTATGGAATATTTGTTCAATGATGCAAACATGTGTTGCATTGTCTTCTGTTGCATTTGTTTAACTCTGTAAAGCTGCGTTACTTTGCCTGCCTAAAACACCTAATTGGTCTAATAAAGAGCTGAACAGCCAATAGCTAGGCAGGAGAGAGGGATAGGTGGCTGCCAGGCAGAGAGAATAAACAGGAGGGAAAATCTAGGCTAGAGAGAGAAAGAGCAAGAAGCAGGAAAAGGAAGTGAGGAGGATGCCAGGGGCCAGCCACCCAGCAATACAGCCAGTCACAGAGTAAGAAAGAAAGAGATATATAGAATAAAGAAAGGTAAAAATCCAAGAGACAAAATGTAGTTGTAGAAAAACAGGATAATTTAAGTTAGAAAAGGTGGCTAGAAATAAGCCAAGCTAAGGCCGAGCATGCATAAGTAAGAATAAGTTCCCGTGTATTTATTATTTATTTGGGAGCTGGGTGGCAGGCCTCCAAATAGTTAAAAAAGGCAAACAAACCAAAAAGAAACAAATACACCAGGGTCTCAGCCTTCTGTCTGCAGATATAAGATCAGAGGACTGGTCAGGGGTTGGAGGAGGATGCTGGTGGCCCTGCTGATGGTGTGGACTCCCCACTTGCCTCCTCACCACACTTCCTCTCTAGACTGTGCAGTGGCTTCACAGGGCTGATGTAGCACTTCTCAATTTCTCTGCTCAGCTCTCTCTATACCTTTGCCTTAGACAGTGGTCTGAAAATGAGCTCCTAAACTCCAAAAGTTCCTGTCTTAGTTACTTTTAAACTGCTATAATAAAAGACACCATGGTCAAAGGAACACATAGAAGGGTTTCTTGGGGGATTGCAATTCAGAGAGTGAGACAATGACCATCATGGTGGACAGCGTGGCAGCAGGCAAGAAGCATGGCTTTGGAGCAGGAGCTGAGAGCCCACATTTGATCCACAAGTGCAAGGAAGAAAGAGAGGCAGAGCTAATTTGGAATGGTATGAGCCCACTCTCAGTGACATACCCCCTCCAACAAAGCCACACCTCCTAATCCTTTCCAAACAGTTCCACCAAGTGGGGACCAAGCATTCCAATCCATGAGCCTATGGGGACCATTCTTATTCGAACCACAGCACCAGCCTTAGCTATATTATGGCTTTGTCACATTCCATCTTCAACAAGAATGACTAGGTCAAAGAGAAGTAGAGTTATGGCTTATTCATCTTTGAGAACTCTCAGAGACCTAGTGCACAGCCTGGCTGCAAGTCATCAGTTCAGAAAGAGAAAGGTGGATGTGGTAGCCCCATGCATGTGATACCAGCACTTGGGAGGTGGACGCAGGAGAATCAAGAGTTTGTAGCCAGTCTGGGTTAAATGAGACTCTGTCTCAAAATAAAGAAAAAGAAAAGTAAAAAGAATAAGAGGAGAAAAAAAGAGACAGAGGAAGGTATGGAGGAAGAAACCAGTTTTATAATGATTTCAATGCAGTTCTAGACTGTGGAGTGGTCTCAGGGCACAGGAACAGGGTTATAGCTCTGTCCTCTGGTCTAAGGCACCTCTTAGTGAGCACAAAAGGACTGGGTATCTTCAGTGGGTGTGTGTCAGACAGAGACTACCCAAGTAGGATGGCAGATCCAAATTCCAGGGTGTTGTGGAATGTTAGTTTAAGATGTGCTACATTCGTTTATGCTATGGAATATTTGTTCAATGATGCAAAGATGTGTTGCATTGACGGCAATTGATCCAATTGACGGCAAGGAAGAGCAAGCCCATGAAAGCACGAATATTCACCAAGGGTACTCCTGTGGGTTCCAAAGGAGCAGGTGCTGTGTCTGAGATGTTCAGGGTGAATCTCATAAAAACATGAGCTCCGCGCGGCACGACATCCCTTTTGACTCCTAGAGCTACTTCTTGGAGGAACAGGGACTCCATGTAGTACCCAGAGGCCCTTCATCCCACCATGGGTCACCTCAGCCTTACAGGAAGTTGAGGCCTCTACGCTCCTACTGTTTGTGACGTAAACGAGCAAACACAGGCTGTCTGTGACTCTGTTCTCCAGCCCTGAGCTAACCCTCTGTGTTTGTGTGCATCCACAGGTCTTCCCAGCCCTGGGCTGTCAGCCTCCTGCGGGAAGAAACTCTGCAGCCACGGGAGCAGGTGCTTGCTTGACAGGGCGACAGGGCAGCCCTCGTGCCACTGTGTGGAGGTCTGCAGGCCCCGCTACATGCCTGTGTGTGGCTCCGATGGGAGGCTCTACGGGAACCACTGTGAGCTTCGCCGTGCAGCCTGCCTGCTGGGCAAGCGGATTGTCAGCGTGCACAGCAAGGACTGCTTCCTCAAAGGTAGGACGAGGGCGCCTTGCCCCGGGCTGTGGAATTCTGTGATGCGTCTTCTGACACTCCTCTGGCCAGTGACAAAGGTGCTGTTTGCACAGGTCATGAGTATAGAGGAAGCGAAGAGAATGATTGGTACATGAGCCCAGTAGCAGCAGAGACCTTTCAGCAATGTGCATTCAGTCTGAGTCTAGTCTCCAGGGGTCTCCACCCCTTCCTCACCCTTGGATAACAGAATCTAGGGAGGTCAAACCGAACTCTTCCCTGGGGCAGAGTCTGTATCCACTTGGCACCAGACAACAGGCTATAACCCAGGTCTCCACACAGCATATGTTCTTGCAAAGTGTCAACAAAGACCACATGGAACAGAGTTCCATGGGTCAGGAAACTATATTGTACATATAAAATGATCAGATGATAACAGCAGAGTGGTCCCCAGCCAGGGGGAGAACATCCCATGCCTTGCCTTTTCAGAGAAGCTCTGAACGAGATCAGGAAACCACCACAAAGACAGCAGAACACACGTATGGAGACAGAGCAGAGAACTCACTCTGTGCCAGGGTTAGGTGGGAAGAGAAGGGCGAGACAGTACAAGCCACAGGAAGGGGTTCAATTTTACGTATTAATATGTCCTCAGCACCGGGCACACAAAGGTGCTCAGAGGCTTACAAATACATGTGAATGTAAAGGCTAGAATGCTGTTCCTATGTCCATGTGGCCTCAGGACACGTAGTACGTGCCATGGCCTGCAGAAATGTTTGTAAGCCTGAATGGCCATGTGTGCATTAAGTTTCTTATGCTACAGAAGCAGAACATGGCAGATGGACAGACCTACCTTGACTAATCTAGGGGACACTAGAGGTGGGAGAGCTGCCTTCAGATTCTGTGAAATCGGAGGTTTGCTTTGGATATAGCAAGGAAGGCCAGGACCGGGAGTGGGGTGGGCTGGGGGAGGGGGGGGCAGGGAGGAACGTGTGTTTGCAGTGCTGGCCACCAAGGGCTACAGAACTACTTTGTAGTGACGAGCTGGGCCTCACAGGCTCCCCGTGACTACCCCCAGCATGTGTGTGTTCCACAGGACACAAGCCTGGGTTGGGTGGTTACAGTCTAAGTGAGGAAAACAGTTATGTGAGCCTCCGCCCCCTCTGCCCAGCGCCAAAGTAACAACTAGGCTGTTCGGGGTTGGCTGTGGTCGAGTGAGCTCTGGGAAGGGGCACTTAAGCCTGGGACAGGAATAATCTCAGACACTTTCATGGCTGTGCTCATGACGCTAATGTTCAGGTGCTTCAAAATCATGAGGTGCATTATGCAGATGAGACCACAATGAGCTGAGGACAAATGCCTGGAAGGGCTGCCCAGCTCATGGCCGCCGCTTCCCCGGCAACCGAGCGCACTAAAACACTTGACCAGTTGCTCCAGCTTTATTGGGCGTGTTGAATTTTATAGACTGATGTTCCATTCTCTGGTTTCCAATATCCCCCAAATTGCGTCTTGCGGAAGGTTTTTTTATTTCCTCATTGGAGTGTGCATGGCCTCCCTTGCCATCGGTTATTCAAACAGCATTTCTCACTTCGCACGGGGGGAAGGAACAACAGCCACAAAACCTGCCGCAGTGAGGGATGGCAAGGGCAGCCTCCAGCAGGGCTGGGTGGTGATTGAATTCATGCGCTGAGGCTTCCTAACGCCAGTTCTGTGAACCCCGACCCACACAGAGCTGTTCCCCTCCAGACCCCTCTTCAAGTGAGCAATGTCTGCACGCATCCCTAAATACCAGGTTACATCTGGGCTCTGGGATGTCTCAGCTGTGTGGCCCCAGGTGCCTCTCTGTACTTCTCTGGTCCATCCTCTCCTTCAGCTATACCATGAGCCTGGTGGCCATCACTGTCTGCTCTGGATGTGCAGAGTGAGGGAAATATAAAAGGTCATGTGTTACAGTACCTGGCCCACTGCATCTGATACAGACCATCATTGCTCCTTCTCAGCTAATGTGGCCACAGACTTAGGGCATAGAGATGCCCAGACTGAAGGGAACACAGAGGCAGAAACAGAAGTCCACCTGGGGGGCTCGTGGGGGACTTTCTGAGCCCAGATAGCTTATATCTGGTGGATAGAGACTGGGTATGGGAGGTACTGAGTACCAAGCACTAATGCTGTCATGGAGTGTCCACCTAGAACCAAGACTTCTCTACCCTTGATCCTAGGATCTGGACTTCTTAGAAAATCCTTTAACAAAGTAGTTCTCAACCTTCCTAATGCTGCAACCCTCTAATACAATTCCTCATGTTGTGGGGACCCCAACCACAAAATTATTTCCATTGCTGCTTCATAACTGTAATTTTGCTACTGTTATGAATCATAATGCGAATACTTTTGGAGACAGAGGTTTTCCAAAGGGGTCACAACAGGCTGAGAAGCAGTGCTTTAACACCTCATGCTAGGGTTGGCTCCAGTCACGGCAGGCAGGAAGGCCCAGTCTCCTCTTCCAGCATTCCTCTAGGGTGTGTCCAGCAAACTGGAGGGACCTAGGCTGATGAGGGTAGAAGACAGATCAACCCTGAGCAAGAAACATCTCCCCAGAGTCACAGCTCCAGTAGAAAACCAACAACAGAGGCTTAACAGGACCGAGGTGGGGGATAAAGAGGGAGGAGGGTATGCAGGACCACATCATCTGCTGTCTCTATCTACCTCACAGTGGCAGCAGTCTGTTTAATATCAGCTTGAGCTCTGTCTTTAAAAATACTTCTTCCCCATGAAAACACAAATTCTAACATCATCCGTCTTCTCTTCTCTGAGTGAACATAGGACTTCACTCTCTAGGAGGGCATCTGTCCCCAGAAGCCAATCTATGGACTCTCCTAATGGGGCCAGAGTGTAGATCAAGTCGGAGGGCTGTGGCAGACGACACTGGACCAAGGCACTGTGTCTACAGCCCCTGGAGGGAAGGCTTCTACCAAGAGCTGGCTGGTGACAGGGCCCTCACCACACAGTGTGAGAGAAGAGTCAGAATTCTAAGCCCCCTGTTCATAAAAAAACTTCTGGTATCAATCAATCCCAGCTGCTATGGTGACAGAATTCTTTGTGACAACTAAATAATAAAGTATCATTTAGGGATCATTGACCTGCGTGAAAAATCAGACTAAACTTGGGTGGCTTCTACCCACGTTTGTGGCTTTAATCCCAGGTCTCCTGGGCCAGAAGCTGGGCGTCTCTTGTTCAGTGTCAGGAGCAAGGAGAGGTATGGGAAAGATGTTTTGTGTATGCTTTCCCTCAGCTCCAAATACCACCAAGATAATATACCCAGATACTGGATGGGACTCACTGCCTGGCTTCATACAGAATTTGTGTTTGAAGGCATCTTGTCACAATGCATTCCTCCATGCACACTAGTTTCCCCTTGAAAAGTTATTTTTCAGACTTGGTTTTGAAGTCACACTTTCTCCTACGAGCTTGCCTTCCGAGCAGTCCCTCACCATGCTAGAGTCATGTTCCATGGCTGATCTGGTGGCATAGTTCGGAAGAATTCCAAACAAACCATGAAATTATGGAAGCAAAAAGGGTGGTTCAAGTTTGTCTTAGGTGAACCCTCCAGCTTCCTCAGCTGCAGTATTTGCAAATGTCCTTCAGATTGCTCAGCATCCAGAGGCATGCTGCCAGGCCAGTGACATCCGAGAAGATAATTTCCACTTACATTAAAAACCAATGAGTAGACCACACACTCACACTCACTAGCCTTTTCTATCCTTTTCAAAGACGTATCTTCTAAAATTATATGTACATGTGTGTGCTTGTGTCTGTGGGTTATGTATGAGAAAGTAAACATGCTCAAAGAGACCAGAGGAAGGTCTCAGATCCCAAGGAGCTAGAGTTACAGGCACTTGGGTGTTTCCAGATATGGGCACTGAAAAACAGAACTCCCATCCTCTGCAAAAGCATTAAGTTCCCTTAACTTCTGTACCTCCCTCCAGCATTCTGGATTTTTTTTTATCTTAAGTATTGGTGAATAGTCATGAAAACTCAACTCTTCATTCACACATTAGTAAAGCCAATCTTGATGCTGGAGAACCTTCTTTTCCTTCTCCCTCTCTTTTCATCTTACTGTTTATTATTACTGTTGTTGTTGTTGTTACTTTCATCTTGGTGCTTTCAGAACTTAAATTAGGCTTCACACCTTCCCAGGGCCATTTCTATACTTCCACACGTCTCTTCTGTCCTGCCAGGACAAGTTACTCTCATCCTAGGCTGTGCCAGCCACGAGAGACTCTAGTCACCAAGATGTGTGTGATCTTGCTGCAGACTTGGTGACAGAATGGGCTGTGGTTTAACTCTGCCAGAGGAGCAGCCCCTCTAGCTTGCAAGCCCTCTAACAAGGAAAGAGTTAGACCCAAAGAAACCAGGGGAGGTCCAGGCTTCTGGGGCTGAGTGTGCTGCTATGCCTTCTTGGACTAGGCCACTGAGGTTGGCCTCATCTGTAAAGTGGGTAGGATAACAGTACCTCTTTCCTCTCCTGGGGTGGTGTGAGTATGAAATGGGCCATGACTGCTTGACTAAGCACCTATAAGTGGTGTTGATTGTGATGTCATTGCAAACAGCTGGGCACATTCAAGGGGTAGCTATCAAATTCCCAGCCTCTTACATGACCATGATGATTAATCTTGACCATCTGCTTGGCTGGACTGAGAGGTGCCTAGGAGACTGGTAAAGTGCTTCTGTGAGTGTGTCTGTGAGGACATTCTCCACATGGTATCATGAGCCAGACACAGTGGCACAGGCTTGTCATCCCAGCACTGAGAAGGTTGAGGCAGGAATGTCAAAAATTCAAGGTGAACCTGAGCCATACAGTGATGAAAGAGAGAGATTAGACTGTGATTGTGAGGGTTTGGGATTCTGACTGGATTAATTATGAAACAGTAGCATTTTTTGAGGTATTAGAGAAGTAGAAGAACCAGGTCATGGGGTGTGTTCTTCAGAACTTTCAGCTTCCCGTATTCCCTTCCTCAGCTTCCCAGCAAACAGGAAGTAAAGAACCTTCCATACCAGACTTTCCCACTACTGTCATGTCTGCCCAGATACATGAAGCCAAATGACCCTGGGCTGAAGTCTCTGGAGACGTGAGCCAAAATAAATCCTTCCTCCTTTACAATTGTTCTCTCAAGTACCCTTGGTCCCAGCTGCACAAATATACAATGGCAATACTGGCTAAGGGTTGAAAGGTGAGGGCTGGTGTCTCTCCCTTTGAGTTAGAGGAGACAAGATGGGTCTCCCCGTTTCTTTAGGAAGTGACTAGAATTTGACCTTCAAATGGCTCCTTCTGTGAGAAAAGATGAGTGACCCAAGTTTACTAGCTGGTTAGCAAGGAGCAAGAGAACCTGATACTCAGCAAGGAAGCAATATCTGGAACGTACAAAAGGGTTCTGGGAAATGTTAGTAGAATCTGAGGGAGAGATTCATCTGTCAGATGTGAAGGAGAGTGAGCATTCATGAGCATACTTGGCAGAGGAGACCCAGAAAGTGGATGGAGGAGCTACCAGGTAGAAACAGTGAGGTAGGGTTTCAAGGGTGCATAAAGGATCAAGTGTCTGAACTTTGAGTCCTGGGGTGGGACTCAGGGAAGGGCCAAGCAAGCAGTGTGAACTCAAGCTGACTCTGTCTATATGAGGGAGAGGGAGGGGACAGCTGGAATAAAGGCCAGCTCCAGTCCCTTGCATCCAAACTTTCTCAGCCTACAGCTTCTCTAGCCAGAGACACCAAGACCTCAAGGATGTATAGGAATCTCTGTAGGAATGTCTCTGGACATTCTCTAATTTTGGATACTCCACACTCCATGGATCTGGCCAGCATTCATGCAGACAACTAGAGACTGACTGAACTGAAAATTAACCCACATCCCAGCATAAACATGCACCCCATCTCAGCCTCCTTGGAGTGCATTTATCCCACTTGTAGAATCCGCTTCCAGAGTAGGGGAAAAAATGACTTCAAACAAACCTGTATGCTCTTTGAATATTTCCCCTTGGATTTCAGCAAGAAATGTCTTGGTATGAGTCCCCTGCAAATTTGCAAGAACACTATCAGTTCAGCACGTGTGGTGTGCTCCACAGAACAGCTGCATTCTGAATGAATTAATTACAATCCAGTAATTAAAAATTGCTAATAAGTTATTGAGCTGAGAAAGTCTTGCACTGCATTGATTTCATGCACAGAAACAAGTTACGGCCTCTGAGCCTCCCACCTCCCCCATTGTTCCCTGCTGTCTTCAGGCACCCCTTCTGCTTGTCTCTACGTGCCCTCTTTCTGTCTAACTTTCTCAGTGTGTTGGCCATTGGCAGGCTCACTCTCCATTCCTAAAGTCAAAAGAAAAGAGTGTGCATTGGATCCTTCTGGAACCATGTAAGCTTTCTCTACCCCTTTCTACCACAGCCGTTGAACTACTTAAGGTCACCCGCGGAGGGCAATGTTGGTGGCTGAGTGTTTAAGAGCACTTGCTGTACAATCATGGGGAACTGAGTTCAGATGCCAGCACCCACATTACAAGCAGGGTATGGTCTTGTGATCCCCAATAACTCCAAAGCTGAGAGGCTTGAAGACCACTGGATCTTGTTGGCTGCCAGCCTAGTCAATAAAAGCAAGCTCCAATTAAGGAGAGACCTTGCCCTAAAGGAATAAGATAGAGAGAGGCTGGGGGGTGGTTACCCAACACTCTACACTGGCATCTGTGCCTTGTTCACACACATACATATACCACACACACACACACATAGATGCACAAAGATCATCTATATAGACAAACAAATGGTAGATACATATATGATGGATTGATATATGATGTGATACATGCAGGACCAGAACTTTGCTGTATGAACTCCAAGCTAGCCAGCATGCCAGGAGAAGCTCTACAAAGAACAGAATCCCCTCTGGGATAAGTCTTTGCCAGTGCCTAGCTCCCTTCCATACTGAACATCTTTACAAATGTAGATGTCTACTTTATTTTTCTCTGCCCAGCTCACTGGAAATGTTCTACTAATTTTTTTTTGCTGAATCCACACATTAGTGACTATTCAACATACAGTCTCTTTGAGGGCCCCGAATGACAGAACAGAAGCTCCTCAGAAGATCTCAGCAAAGAGTAGATGGATCCAGCCAGGCAGTGGTGGCACACGCCTTTGATCCAGCACTCAGGAGGCAGAGGCAGGTGGATCTCTGAGTTCGAGGCCAACCTGGTCTACAGAGCAAGTTCCAGGTACACAGAGAAACCTTGTTTCAAGAAACAAAACAAACAAGGAAAAATGATTAAATGGACCAGGAGAAGGACCTTGCTCAGAGCCCTTGTGGGTTCTCTGGGACAGGAGGGTGCCATCCCTTGGATCTAGAAAGCCCATGTAGGCTCACGGTCTACATCTTTATTCCCCAGCTACTGGCACCATTTGAGGACCAAGGCTTAAGGAGGAACTGTTAGGAGATGGGCCCCAGCTGGTGGAAGTGGCTGACTAGGGGCAGACCTTGAAGATTATACCTACCCCTGGATCCTGCTTTGCTCTTGATCCCTGGTCTACCGAGATGTGAACAACGTCTACCACATACTCCCATTGCCATGAACTCCATCATTCATGTCTTCCCCTGCGATGATGGACTGAGACACACTCTTCCCCCAATAAAGTCATGAGCCAAGACAAATCTTTCCTTCCTTAAGTTCTTCTTGTGTAATATTTTGTCATAGCAAAAGAAACTTCTCGAGGGCCATCAAAACACTGAGGAGGAAGAAGGAAGGGGAGGAACAGTGAAGGGACAGACACGGAGCTCCCTGCTTAACGACTATCCCCCTCCAGGAGGCTGCTTAGAGGAAAGCCCTCCATGGAGAGAAAAGTGACCTTCGCCCCAGCAGCTCAGGCCTTGCAGAGCAGAGACGGTGCCCAGCACCTGGGAGGTTTCAGATGCTCACTCCAAGTCAATGGTAAATTACTAGAACGAGAAGAAGTTGATTTGGGACTTCCTTAAGGCTCTCCCCTACTGTGCCTTCAATTAAGATCAAGGTCCCTGGGAAGCAGCCACTAAATGGTACTACATATCCGATCTCTGTGCTCAAGCAGTTTATCTAATTATGTGTGTGACAGACTCAGCAGCTGTCAGACCAGCCACAACTCTAACGTGTTGACTCTGTACCGCCTGCCCGCTGCAGCGTGCGTCTGCTCACTCAGATCCCAGGGCAGAACTTCCTCGCTCTCCTACAGATGTGCATTCCTTAGGTTTTCTGCTGCATGGTGACTCGAGGAGCTGGAGGGCCCATGGTGGGGGATAGAAGTTAGGCAAAAAGCTTGGTGGCCAGGCTGGTCCTGATTCCTGTTCCTTTTGTCTTTGCCTCCAGTCTCCAGGGATGATATAAATGTCCAACTCCTCTGCCTGCTTTTCTGCTCAGGAAAACAACATTTAAGCCACCTTTCCTTCTCCAGAGGGAAAAGGAACACAGAACTGTGACAATAATGGAAATAAATGAGCCCCATGCAGTGACCTGAGGAAGCACAGTAGGAGTTTTGGGCAGGATCCCCGGTGGAGCGTGCTCTGCCATAAAACCACACCACAGTGACTAACCAAATGTGGGGGTCTGAGCTGCTCCTCCCCACTACCCCAGAGCTGAGGAGACCTCACTCCTTGTGCCTCCCGGATCACTGGATCTGCTATGGCTCATTGTCAGGCAAAAACCTGTGCTCAGTCCTCTCCCAGATCCCAGTGCCCTGGGAGAGCTGGGTCCAGGATGGAGAGTATTCCAGTGTGTGAAGCGAAGGAGCACTTCCCTGCATCCGCTGGTCTGAGGCATCACCTCTCCTCAGGAGCAGTGCCCTCTGCTTTTCTTCACCTACTCCATTCTGCTCTGATGCGCCCTGCCACTCAGCAATGGAGGCAATCGGAGTGAAAATGGCTTTCAAAAACCTCCTGCTAAATGAAAGGAGCAGGATCACTTCATTTGCAGGTAATTAAAACAGCCAGCTGCGGTGAACTCTGTCCACTGCCTTTTATAAGCAGGTGCGTCTGAGATGTGTTTCTCGGAGAAGCTGGAAAGGAGGGCCCCTCCGGGGACCTGCCAGTCATCCCCCTTTTCTCTCTTCCTAAAGGAACTGTCATTTCCTCTTCTGCTCTTTGTCCTCAGTCTACCCTCACTTCTTAAGATGGCTAAGATGGGGGCCTGAACCCCCCATCTGGTTCTCAGTGGTCCAGTGATGTTTCTGGGATGTAGGTCAATGCTTCTTTCACTTACTCTGCCTTACTGAGCTGGTACTCATAAGCGCTCTCTCTCTCTCTCTCTCTCTCTCTCTCTCTCTCTCTCTCTGTATGTCTTTCTGTCTCTCTCTCCCTCTCCCCTCCCCTCTCTCTCTCTGTATGTCTTTCTGTCTCCCTCTCTATCTCTGTCTCCTCCCTCCTTCCTTACCTCCCTGGTTTTCTCCTTCCTCTCACACCCATGTTTCAATCTCTATTTCTCAGATGTTGCATAGTTCACTCTAGTACAATCACATGGTCCATATTTCCTTTGACACATAATAAGCCCAAGGTCTTTGCTAAGGGCATTAGCAGAGATCTTCAAGTCTATGTAGATTCTCTAACTCCACCTGATAAATTGATAAGGCTCACATGGACCCAGGTTTCTTTGGCTCCCCGTAGCTTTTCCAGTGCTAATAGAATAGGGGCCTCTAAGCCATGGTGTCCTGATGTTGGAAACTTCCCTGATAGGTAGATGAGGGTCAAGAACAGGGGGGGGGGAGGTAAGGAAGAGGTATCTTACAAGGTCACAAAAGGAGAAATACTTCTACCAAGGATGCGTCAAAGGGGAGCACAGGGCAGGGGTGGAGGCGGTACCAGGAAGGGTCAAGGACCCATTGTCCTTTTCATGTGGATAGGGATTGGTTTTTTCTTTCTGCCCATGCAGAGCAAGTTTCAGCCCTACAGACTTACCTGCAGGCCAATCTGATAGAAGCAATTCCTCAGTTGAGAGTCTGTCTTCCCTGACTCTAGCTTATGTCAAGTTGACAAAGACCTAATCAGCAGAAAGAGTAAAAGGAAATCGTGCATTCCCCCCGCAGCACAGCAGGGGGAGTCTCTCACCCAAGCCAGGGGAAGGAAGAGCGGGTTGGGGGATTACCCCCAAGAAACATTTTAGGCAGCAACTGGGTTCTACTGTCAGTTCAAGAAAATACGAACTTTGAGAAGAGATGAGAAATGGGTTACCAGTCGGCCTAGGCATTGTCAAAGTAAACAGAGGCTGGAGAATGGAAGGGAAGTGTCTGAAGTCTTGGAACTACAGTAGCAGAGGTTCCTTATACATTTAAGGAGCCCAGTTAACCATGAGGAGGGGAGGGGTATGTTCATTAGCCATATGAGAGAATATGGAGAAATATCTTCCCAAAGAGAAATAAGGAAAACCTCTCCCTGCATATAATACATAGGAAATGAGAAAGAGTCAAATTGAGATGTAAGAGAGGGTGATAGATGTGGAGAGAAGAGAGGAAGGTTTAACACCTTGGTAACTAGGTGTCGTAAAGAGCCCAGAGCAAGCCAGATAGACACAATAAGAGAGACAAGAAATCTGGTGCTGTGTTCCAGGCTTTTGGTGGCCTTAGGGAACCTCCTTGCCAAGGAGTGACCTTGAAAGCAGCATATCCACTGAGAACATTTGTGGAGTTTTGAGCTGATGAGATTCTAGTCTGAGTTCTGCACCCATCAGGTGGTGATTATGTGTGGAAGTGACAGAGTGGATGTTCAGATGGAAAAGACTTCTGAGAATTCCTACCCATGCAGTCCTTCTTGGGGAAGGGGAACAGAATCAGGAATCCTCAACAACTTAGGTAAAGCCCAGAGAATTTTTTTAAATGTATCTATATCTATGTGTGAGTGCTTGTCTGTATTTGCACCACATGGATGCAGTACCTGTCGGGGCCAGAAGAGGGTGCTGGATCCCCTAGTGCTTGATTTATATGTAGCTGTGAGCCCACTCAATGTGGATGCTGAGAACCAAACCTGGGTCATCTGCAAGGGCAGCAGATTGTCTTAACCATTGAGCTATTTCTCTACCACCACCACCTGCCCCAGAAAATCCAACAGGGAGAAAGCCACGGTCGTCAGGACTTACGGGAGTGTGTGGCTGCCAAAACTAAGAAGCTGTCTAAATAATTGCTCCAAATATAATTAACAAAAATTGCAAAGGGGAAATTATGAAGTTAAGTGCACTTCATCCCCTCTCTTGCTGTGCCAGTTAGAATTTTGTCAACTTAAAACAAGCTCGGGTCATCTGGAACAAGGGAGCCTCAGCCGAGAAAATGCCTTCATCACATTGGCCTGTAGGCAATTTTCTTTATTAATGATTGATGTGGGAGGGCTCAGCCCACTATGAGCGGCTCCAGGGGCAGTGGCTCCTGGGTTAGGCAAGAAAGCAGACTGAGCAAGCCACAGGGTACAAGCCAGTAAGCATCATTTCTTCATGGCCTCTGCTTCAACTCCTGTCCCCGGGTCCTTCTTTGAGTTCCTGCCTCAGCTTCCCTTCATGATGGACTGTAAGCTGTAAGATGTAATCAACCCTTTCCTCCCCACGTTGCATTTGGTCATGGTGTTTATCATAGCAATAGACAACAAAGACTCTTGCATGTGGGAATTTCAACAGATGATGCACAGTTGTCTTAGACAAGGACTGGCCTCACGTACCCTCCTCCTGCCACAGCCTCTTAAGTGATGAGATCACTTGTGTGGGCCACCAGAGCAGGCTAGACCATATACATATATATTCTAACTAGGAATACTGGATGGTGTACCTAGCCAAAGGGGGAAGTTTTCCATTTCCTCTGTCCTAATAGCCCAGAATAACCCAGTGCTGGCCCCAAACAAGCCTCCTTGATTATTCCCAGTGGCTTGCAGGAAACCCGGCCTCCTTGCCTTTGGTGGTGTGCCCAGACAACACGAATAGGCTTGATGTCTGACTGAGATTTCCTCCAAAGAGTTCAGGCCTCCCATCATCCATCCCGTGTATCCCAGAAATCTTGCTGAAGCTGATGGTAAAGTAAAAGAAAACCTCATTCTGACACACAAGCTTTGGGGTCAGCTTGATTAGAGTTAGATTAACCTAGGAGACACACCTCTGGGTGTGTATGCAGCGGTGTTTCTAGAAATGTTCAACCAGGGAAAGAAGACCCATGCTGAATGTGAGCAGCATCCACGCATGGGGTCCTGAACCATATAAAAGGGAAAACAGAGGAGGCAAACTGAATGTCAGCATTCCTCTCTCCCTCTCCTTCCTGACTGAGGGCACAATATCTCACGCCCCCCTCCCCCCGGCCGTGCATTCCCCTCCAAGATAGAGTGTATCTCCTCAAACTATGGACCCAAACAAGCCCTTCCTGACTGAATTTTGTCATAGAGAGAAAAGCAACTAATCCAGGGTTGTGGTGTGTCTTCCTTAAGTCACAATGTGTAATAAGCATATGACAAAATGCCCGTGAGGTGGTCAGTAACAAGTTGGATGGCCAGCACGATTGGCTGCAAAGTTCCACCAGAAAGAAACTGCACGCTTCATCACTGAGAGAAATGTGTGAGAGCCATGCTTTGCTGGGGAGGGGGCTAGGCAAAGGATGGCACTGTTCAGAGTTGGAAGTAGAAGTTAAGCCCTCAAGACAGCGGAAACCAACG